AACTCCAGCGTGTCCCAGAAGAGTAGGGCATGGATTAAACACAGCCAGGTTGACTTGGAAAAATCACCCTGGCAGGGGGACCCTACTAGGCTGGAATTTCAGAACAGTACAACCAACACAAAAACCAGGCCTTCTTCCTTAGTCACTGCCATCGCTTTCTCAGTAGCACGCTGGCCATGCTTTAACATCGAGCTTTGTGTCTCAGCACTGCTGCTGTAACACTGTATTAATCCAGGCAGTCGTGTGCCGTGTTTTATGTAATGATCCATACTTTCACACCACAAACACACAGCCAGAAAAGGAAGCACATTGATTTAGCGCTCGGTAATCCTTGTTTAATCCCCAGTCCTTTGGTTTACATCACTAACATGGCTCCTGCAGTAGTCAGTGTGCTATCTTTGTTCTTGGCAGACTGAATTAAAGGAAAGATTTATTAATTTGTAAGTTGGCTTTGTAGATGCATCTTAAGTGTGTTAAAAACCAAAGCAGTCCAGCAGCCAGTATTGACTTAACTATAAAAATCTGCTGTTTAAAACTCAAACCTTTGCAACAATCCAAGTCAAGCTGCAGAGTGTAATTTATTGGCTTACTAAAGCAATTGCATTGTATGGGCCTAAATTTAACAACTGTCTCATTGCAGGCCCTCAGCCTACTTCCTTTTTCACTCATTACTACAAATACAATTAAAGTCCTCTTTCCTCGCTCATCTACACCTAGGACTGCAGTGCTTTATGGCTCATGCTCTGATAAGACAAAGGGCTTGGAACTAATGGATTCAGTTGCAAAAAATGTTAGAGGGTCAGAGATCACCACTCATTCCAGTGGTGATAAATATTCCATGTAATTGCTGCACAAATGCTAGTGTTTGGGATTTATTTCTGTTAGTTTACGAATGCTGGTTGCTTTCTTCCCTCTCACAGTGCCAAAGACGACGAATCTTGGGAGGAAGCCTTTTGTAATAATTTAGCTGTCATCACCTTCACTCCTGAATCCTTTAGGCCAGGTACAGGCTAGCCCTGTTCCTTTCTGGCAGGTGAGATTCCAGAGCTACCTCCAGCAGCTTAAGGTGGCTCTTCACTCACAACCTTCCTGCTAGCAAGTCAGTTGAAATCTCAAGTGATAACCATGCTCATGTTACAATTGTAAAGAACTTTAATTTTTTTTTTTTTAAAAAAGTAACTGTTGATTTCCTAGATGCAATCAGATAACTGTATTTTACAGTCTATAGCAATATAGACTGTCCTTCCTGCTGGAAATCATTTTACTTTGGGAAAATCCAGGTCAGTTCCTTAAACAAATAAACTTCTAGAAGACTGTAATTCACTTTCTAACCATGGCATTTAGGCTCAGCTCTAAATCAAACTAATGTAGTCTGGTTACTCATTTCAAGGAAACTGTAATGTGAAAAAGAAGTCCCTTTATTTAGTGTTTAAATAAAGTCAGGAGTGATTTAAAGATGTAGAGTGTTAATGAATTAATTATTGTACTGTGCAACACATGGATAGTGCTTTGGTAAGGGGAAGTAAGTATAGGCTGGGTCTGTTCTTGCAAGCAGATCTCTAACCTGTGTCCTTCCTTTTGAATGTGATGAAATTCTTTACCTCTGTGACTGTCTGCTAGTAATAAGACAGATGCAGTTCATGCCCTCATTTTCAATTGTGCTTGCATGACTGCGTTTATTTTTCAATCTACCTAGTCAGACAAACATAAATATTTAACCCCCAGCAAAGGGTGGCAAGTTAGACGCGAAGGCACAGAGTGTCTTCCAAAGACCTATTAGTAAATCTAAACATCTCATGTGAGTCTCCATAATTGCTTTAGAAACCAACATTGACAGTAAATGGCATTTTTAAGAGAAAAGAATATACTCAAAGTTTCCTAACTTTCAGGCTCCGACCCACATAGCACTCATTAAGCCATGGGGTATTAATTCCTTCTTCCTAGGGGTTGCCACTGTGCCAGTATCATGGTGTTGGCATCAAAAGTTATTCCTTACAGTGGATGTAAGATCTTAATTAAAGATGCGTTTTGCGTACTGCCTTGGGACCTGAGGTCTAGGACACAGGAAGGATACACTGTGTGGGGGTGGCTGTGTGCCAGGCTGTGCCAAAGCCGTGCAGCCTCGTGGCATTTGGAGCATTAGGTGCTCAAAACTGGTGTTCAGAACAAGGGGTGTGCTGAGGTTTGCATCGTAGTCCCTGCTGCAGTCTTGAAACTGGCTTCTCACTGCTCACAGTACGCTCTGGTGGCACAGCTGTCTTTTCCTGTTGAAAGGATGAGAGCAGAGAGCAATGACTTCTGTATGGGACCAGGCTTGGCCCAAGATGGACTTCCTTTCCTTTTCTGCTGGAGGAGCATTAAACCTACAGCTCAGTTCTGTGGAAACTGCCCAACAGCACAGGCTGCTGTTTGCTGCCATGGAGTACAGGAACCTGCGGGCCCCTTCCCCACCCCCAGTGCCCCTGCAGAGCGGCTCTCAAGTCCGTCAGAAGAAGGGTAGTACTATTAAAAGTACTAGTATTAGAAGAAGGTGCTGTGCATGGCTGAGAGTGTGGGTTCACAGTAAAGGGACTGTGTGTCTTGTAGATTGGAGTTTTGTGGGGTTTGGTGGTTTCTGGGTTTGGTTTTGAGTGATAACTTGTGGAAACTTACTTAAAATTTGCTGCAAAGCTAAGTTTTTCTTAGTCTAAGTCTTTCTAATTCTAAAAGCATGTTGGGCTTCAGCACTAAGCAGCCCCATGCTCGTCGTACCAGGATTCCCAAGGTGTTCCTGGCCTCGATCCATACAAGATGATGGCAGCAGTTGTTCCCCTAACGCAGTACCTCGGGGGTGGTGGGTGAATACAGTGCGAACTTTGACACAGGACACCTGATCCATGCTTGAGGAGAAGCAGAGCTGTTTCTTCACCTTCCAGGACAGAGCCCAAACCACCAGCTTGTCAGTGCTTTCTTAGGGCATGGACCTTCATCAGCTCTCACTTCAGGGTAGTTGATTAAAAAGGTGAGTGGTTACAAAGTTAAAGCACTGGGCAGGGCACTCTCCTGAGCAGATGAAGACTTAATTTAATATTAACTTATTTTGGAGAGCAGATGAAAACTCAAGTGTGCATCCACTGGGTTATATCTTTTTAAAAATTGATTAGTGAAATTCTGCTGTATGAGAACAATTTCACAAGTTCTGTTTGCAGAGCACCACTCAAATGGGTAGACTTCATGTGTGGTGTAGCGTAAGAGAGGGAGGCCAAAAGGAAATCTCTCACAACCTCCCTATGATGGGCCCCTGGACCATACACGAGTGTTTTCTATATTTGTTTGTTTATCTATGTTGATTCTGACCTACTTTAAGAAAGGGGAAAAAGAAAAGGAAAGAAAAGATTTCTTCCAGCAGCAGGTTTGTAGAGAAAGACCGGGTCTCATTCCACGAGGCTGCTGGCCTGGAGCCTCCTGTACAGTGTAGGTAGGTCCTCCCCTGCGTGGGAGGTGGATGGAGCAGGCACAGTCTATGCAGCTCCAGGTGTAATGCACACCAGCGCTTCCCCTTGTCTCAGGATCACTCAAAATTAGGCTTTAACTTTCAACTGCAATGTGATCCTCCATGCAGCTACTGAATAGCACAGAAATAATCAAAGAAATGCATTATTTAAAGTGTCAGCACACTCCAAAATGTGTAAGGCCAAGTTGTATTTAGAAAAGCCTGGCAACAGTGTTTTAGTGGAAAGAACATCGGGCTGGGTGCTTAAGGCTTTCAGTTCAGCAGCATTCCCTGCCTGGGAAGCACAGCTGGAGAGCAGACCCAGACCTTAATTTGCTGGTGTGTTTCCCCTGAAATAATTCCTAAAGTCTTTTGATGTTGCTGTTTGCTACAATTCTGGTGACTTTGTCTTTGATGCCCAGCTCCCTGCCGAGGCAGAAACAAGTATTCCCAGTACAGTACCCACAGTGCACAGCCCGGACACAGAACACCTCAGTTGGTAAAGCCGAGCTCTGCCTTCCAGGCCGCCTCCTTTTTAACAACCTGGCCCTTGCTAGTTGCCTCAGCAGACAGTTGTAACTGCAACTTTGTGGCTGAATCCAACAGTCAGATGTCTGGGAACAGGCTGCTGCATGGCTAATACGCTTTAAAAGGATGCAAATCCTGCCTCATGATTCAAACAAAAAACCTTTCGTGAATGAAATTCAACTTCCATGGCCGTAGACATGACAAGTTAATGGAGCCATTCCCACTGCGTGGATAAGGACTTATCCATGCAATTCCCCATAATGTTAATGGCAGTTGTGTAGCTGAATCCCACACTTGCCATGCTGAAAGTTACCCCTAACTCTCCAAGGAGAAGGGTGCTAATTGGATTGCTGACTTTAAATCCTTCAGCTAGTCAGTCTATGGCAAGGATTTAGCACGGGCTCTGTAAAAGGCTTTACACAGCTTTGCAGTGCAG